TAGGAACTTAATTCATACTAGTATAACTTTTTCTAGTAATTTCATAACTGTTACTTATCCATCCTTTTTTTAAAAAGAAATAACAACGTTTAAAAATTATAGTATTAAACATGACATAAGGTAGCTTTTGCTACCACACAAAACATGCATTAACCTCACCTTCAATTGTATCTAAGGTAGCTTTTGTTATCTTCCAGGATACACTAGGGAGGCTAGTAGTAGCACAACTCCCTCAACTCAGTTGTGAAATGCTCTGCTGATCTTAAAGAAAAAGTTTTACGTATTAGTTTTGTTTGGTAATTAACAAAATTTTAAAGAAACTAAAACTTAGTAGGAGTTAGGCGTAAAACTTGCACGAGGCACCCTATTTGGTCGCTCACATTTAACCTATATCCATTTTTTAAAAAAGTTTTAATTTATACTCGTTTTTTAAACAACTTCAGGCCTCTTTCTCCTTCTCCTTCTCCTCCTTCGTTTTCTTCTTCTCCTTCTTCTTCTTCTTCTTCGGGTGACAATGATTTTATATGATGGTTGTGAACATATTTTAATGTAATTTATGATGTTTTACAATGGTGAGTTGTTATGACGCTTTATTTTTTGTTATTGCTTAGGGTTTCTTCTTCTTCTTTTTCTTAATTGCAAAATGGGTTCATTAGATTTATTGTTGTTTTGACACATTGATGATTGGGATTTGTTCCTGATGATATTTAGAGGTTATGTTTCAAATTTGAGCTCATTTGGAGTAGATTTAAGTATTAAATCGTAAATTGAATAGTTATAATTCTAAAAACAAATTTCTGTTTCCGAGAAATTTGTACTTCAAGCCTATTTGACTTTAAGTATATAAAAATATTGGTTGCACTTCAAACCTTTTGGTCTTAAGTGCATCTGAAGTGCAATTTTTCATTCAGACTTATTAGCCTTAAGTGTAGCAAAACGTTCGTTGCACTTTAGACCTTTTGGCCTTAAGTGCATCTGAAGTGTAAATTTTCACTTCAGACTTATTGGCCTTAAGTGTAGCAAAACGTTTGTTGCACTTCATACCTTTTGGCCTTAAGTGCATCTGAAGTGTAAATTTTCACTTCAGACTTATTGGCCTTAAGTGTAGCAAAACGTTTGTTGCACTTCATACCTTTTGGCCTTAAGTGCATCTGAAGTGTAAATTTTCACTTCAGACTTATTGGCCTTAAGTGTAGCAAAACGTTTGTTGCACTTCAGACCTTTTGACATTAATTAAGTGCATATGAAGTGCAATTTCTCACTTCAAACTTATTGGCCTTAAGTGCATGAAATCATTGGTTACATTTCATATCTATTTGGCTTTAAGTGCATCTGAAGTGCAAATTTTTACTTCATACTTATTGGCCTTAAGTGAATGAAAACGTTTGTTGCACTTCAGGCCAAGGCCGGCTCTAACAGTATGGTGGGTAAGGCATGTGCCTTAGACCCCCAATTTTGAGGGGCTCCATTTTTTTAGAAATAATATATATTTTATAGGTATTTAAAAAAATAATATGTAGTAATTTTGAAGTAGACAAGCAACAACTAGTTATTTTGGACTCAAGGTCTTCATTCTTCAAACTTTGTGAATCAGCAATCGAGTAATATCTTTCTAGTATTATTTTTATTTGGTATTTGATATTTCATTAATTTTACTCCATACATATCATTTAAATTTTTTAAAAAAATTTAAATACTTAGGCCTCACATTTGACTTTGGCCTTAGGCCTCAAATGCCCTTGAGCCGCCCCTGCTTCATGCTTATTGGCCTTAAGGACATCTGAAGTGCAATTTTTCACTTCAGACTTATTAGGTTTAAATTCATGAAACCATTGGTTGCACTTCAGGCCTATTTGGCCTTAAGTGCATTTGAAGTGCAATTTTTTCACTTCAAACTAATTTTTTTTAACTTCAAACCCGATAAGTCTGAAGTTGATCGTAAAGTGGGTACACTTGCAAACGTTTTTGCGAAGTGGGTATAGGTTCAATTGTAACCCCAAAACCGGGTATAGATACAAAAACCTCGAGTTAGGCGGGTTTCGCCATGACTCACTATTTAGCCCAGTTAACTCAGCCAATGTCAACCCAAGTAATCTGTAGATGGGTTTCACCAAACTCGACCCAACGACTTCATTTTACAACCTTAGTTGTAACTAACCCAATAAGCGGTCTTACAACTAGCTTGATACCTTGAACATCTATATATATCTATAAAGTTGGGAATTGATAAGCTGATGTGGTATTCTATATGCCCAAGAAACTCAATTATCTTTTTTGTCAATTATTTTGTTTTTTTCTTATTTTTCCTCTTTATTTTGGTTTTTTCCTCATTAACTTTTAATTACTCAGTTAAAGGAGAAGACAGTTTCCAAAAGGTTTCATGTTTCCAAAATGTAACGTTTCAGTTATTAAGGAATGGAAGTTATAGCTCTTCCCCGTTTGATATTCAATCATACATTTATCAAAGATTTGTATAAAGATAGTGAACGTGTAATTTCTATTCAGTTTCCAGTGACTCACTTTTGATATTTATATTGTTTAGTTTCTTCTATGAATAGAACTTTAAGCCTATCTGATTCTTTCTTTTTTGTTTTTTGTTATTTGGTTGCAGAGCCTCTGCCTCTATTTGTCTGTGAGGTTTTCTCAGTTATGGTAGAATCTAAATAGGATGTAAAAGACTACGACGATATGATGGTAAAATTAATGACTCATTGTATTCAAGTCTTTGCGTTATACCCATTTTTGAACTTTTAGTCTTTTCTTATTATAAATGGGTGATGTGATAAACACATTACTTGATCATGCATCTGACTTAACATTGAAAGATAATTTGTTCATTTTTAGTTCTGTACTCATTGTTGTCTAATCATTTTAGGATGTTTCTTTTCTTTCTCAATTATATATACTATATTTTTTGGTGGAAGCGTTTTCTTGGATTGTGAAAGCAATATCTCAATATTCACATGTCTTACAGTATTTATACACTTCAACTTAAAGCATGAACATACCAACTATTTTAAATATGTGGTTATCGCCGGTATGACTTGTATATATATACTTTTGATCTTTCCCCTTACTTTATAATTGTGTATTTAATTATAAGATGTTTAAATAATTTATACGCTCTTTTTCTCCTATAATTTCTTGCGTATTAACATAGTCTTTTTTGCCTTCTATTCGTTTATGAGGAGTTGTTTTTCAAACTAAACACAAATGAGTCGCAAATAATTGGTTTATTATTAAAATTTTCAATTGTGTTTCGAAAATTTTCAAGAGTCCTAATTTCAGTTCCCGTGCCCATTTTGCTTTGAGAAGTTTGAAAATTCCCTATTAAAATCATTAAGTATTCCTTGTAGGAGGAAAAAAATCAATAGGATGGACCATGTGATGACTTAGCATTTTTATAGGACCACAAAAAACTATTTTTTTTCCTCAATTTTGATCTTTTTTTTTGTTTACCTTATTTTAAGAATCTCCAAGTCTCTGAATAAAGTTACTAATTAAGTAACATTTTATACAATAAAATTTTTAGTTATGCACAACAATTATATAGGAATGGAAGCCAAGAGGGGTTATCACCAACTTAACATCCAAGAACAAGCGTTAAAAGAAGAACGCTACATTAATGAGAGTTCTAGAGTGGGAACTAAATAATTCTTGAAAGAGCAATTATATAAATAAGTGGAAGGCATGATTCCAATATCTTACTTTAGATGCTTCTGTCACCACCTATAAATAAAGGTAATCTATTTTAGTTGCGTGCAAGCAAGAAGTGTGAGCACAAAAGTTAAAAATAAGAAAACAGTAAAAGAACGGTTAGAATACGAGCGAGATAATTGAGTGTAAAAAATTAAAAGATCAAAGTTGATTCTTAGTTTGCAATAACAAAATTCAAGTTGCGAACAACTAATTGTGCTCAATATAGGTATGTGCCAATATTTTTTAAACAAATTAATAAGAAAATTCAAATAAAATAAGACAGAGGGATTAACACTTAATAGTATCTATGAACAATGCTAGGACTTATGTTGAGTACATACTTTATTATAAATTGGGTGTTAACTTCTCTTCCTCTATGTCGAGGATGGTCCTTTAAGAACGTTGGGATTATAAATCTACAAAAGGTAAATTATGCTTATATTTGAATTAATTTTTCATATTTATTTGTTCCTATGACTTTGGTTTTTAATTTTTTTATATGTATGCCTCACATTATATTTTAGTTTTTAGTTTGGGTATTATACATCTTTTATTTTATCCATATCAACAAAACTTATCCCATACAAAATATGATTTATTGCGCGAAGCGCAGGCCAATTAACTAGTGGTTAAAATAAAGGTGATGGTCTCATTGCAATATTGAAAATGTTTCGGCTGCTTGTATTTTCATTGGTTCGTCATTGTTTAGACATAACCAACTGACTGAAGGCAGTTTCTATAATTGATGGAAAAGCAAGTAAGAAAAATGTAAGTGCCATGAATGCATTTCTCTACAACAATGAATACATCTACAAAGAAATAAAGAATGAGAAGTCAAACTTACAAGTTACTTACAATAAATGTGAAGTTATGCTTGGCTTAATTCTTTCATCTATGATCGCATGATTCTCAGTAGAAACAATCCTTCACTCAGCCCAGACGATTAATAACAGAGAAAGAAAAGTAGTTGAGATAATAAATAGACAGTAGCAACTAGCAAGAAGTTCAAGAAGCAGCTAGCAGCTTGTTAATTTATATCACGTTAAGAAGCAAGACCATCATAAATTCCAAACATAATTCAAGAAAATGAAAGGTGGGGGACCTATTTATTCCTCTATATATGCATATTGTCTACTTCTTACGTACTATACTCTCTTTCCAACACATCCACCCTTACAAACTTCCAAAAAAAGTTCACATGCTTTGTTTGTTTGTGAATTCTGACTAGCTAGTAACTGCTGCATAGTGCATACAATAAGGTCCGATCCTTGTCTCCCTCTTTCTAACTTTGATCTCTTTTTCATTTCTGTCGTTGGTATTCATTATCCATACACCCACTCTCAAATCTTTTTTTATTATAGAAATTTTCAATAATATTAGCTAGTCTTTTTTTGTGTGTGTGTTTTCTTAACTTATTATAAAATAGGCTAGCTGCTCGATTTACTAGCTTAGAGCTAGGAGGGGATAGCTATTCACATATAAGTAGTTTTATCTGTTGCTATCAGAGTTTTAACTTTTAAAGTCTCAGGTAAGTCTGCGCTTTTGCCATGACTACAACTACTACAGTTTTCCTCTTGGTGATTTCATGCTGCTTCTTGTGGTTGTGTTTACCATTTCCTTTGGATGTTGAGGCTTCATCAGCAGCAAAAGTGGCTAATCCCCAGATCACTGTCATGGGTTTGGTTTACTGTGATATTTGCTCCAATAATTCCTTCTCCAGGCACAGCTACTTCATGCCAGGTACTACAGTCTTCCATACAAGATTTTGGGGGAATTCTTGTATATTCACAAATCCATAACATTTTTTCTTCTGTCTTAACTACTTCATTCTGCATACTGCTACCTAAAATAATCCTTTGGTTAGAGGTGTCAAACGATTGGTTGGGTTATAATTGGACTGGTCAAAACACTAAGTAGTCATGTCTCAACCCGTTTGGATCAAGATGGGTCAAAAAACGGGTCACAACCCAACCCATCCAGCATGAATTAACCTCCATTTTTTTATTTTGCTTTTGAAAAAAGAAACTTGAAAGCTAATGTATTTTTATTAAGTTAAGTTCGTCTAATTATAATAATTCCCGATCTCCAAATTTGATACTTGTGATTTTGTATGTTTGGGTTTGGATTGCATCTATTTTAACCCGTTTTGATCCAATAAGTTGATGGGTCAACCGGGGGGTTCAACCTGTTGGATCAACTCAACAAACGGGTCATAACCCGAACACATTTAAACTTGGACAGGTTACTAAAAATTGGTTGATTAATCGGTTAATGCCATTGATATTGGAATAAACAATGAACAGGTGTAGAAGTTAAGATAGACTGCACCTTCAAAGCAATGTCAGCAAGGACAGCAGAGCTGGTATCAGTGTCAGTCAACAGAACTACCAACAGATATGGTGTTTACAGGTTGGAGATACCATCTGTGGATGGAATAGAGTGTGCTGCAGAGAAAGCAATTGGCAATTCCTGCAGAGCTAGCCTTATTGGAACTTCATCTTCTTCCTGTAATGTACCTGGCTCTACAAGAACCACTACTGATGAAATTACCATCAAATCAAAACAAGCAAATATGTGCATCTATAGTCTCACTGCTCTGAATTTCAGACCTTCTAAGAGAAATGTTGCTCTTTGTGGGAATTAGGAGCCCCAACAACTGAATTTCACTTGGATGGATTCCTTTGTAATTGTTCCATATATGTCTTCTCCTCGTCTTTCACTTTCCAATTTCCCGTTTATAGGGAATAATATGTATAATTCATTTGTCTCCCTTATATTTTCAGTAATCATGTGCCTTGTGCCTCGTCCTCAATTTCTGGTAATCAAATTCTTGCATCACACTATGCATGTGAATACAAGGAAATGTATTAGAAACAGGCAATAAGTCTTGCTGTTGTTAGCTGGTTAATCAATCTGTTTTCTCTTTGATGGACAAGAAAGAAAGAAGGTTTATCTTTGTGTCGTGTTCCTCTTTGGACATGAGAATCTCATTTTATCTTTTAGTCGAATTACAACTCTCTAACCTGATATTCGAACAGCAGAGCACAGGTGTGAGCTGCCAGTAAGATAAATGTTTGTCATTCTACACCATTACAACTTTCCAATTTATATTCCATCTAATATCTTTAAGTAATGTAACCAACAGATCTTCAGCCATTCCATTACAAATTTAAGATTGACTTAATAAGTGTTCGAAACACAACTAGTGCCCTTCTCCCTATGCTACAACAAGGAATATAAAGTGAATATCTGGAAAGGAAGTTAACAAGAACAGATCCACAAACAACAAATGTACCTCAACCTGCAGCACATTAGAGAATTAGCTCACAATCTCTTCTGACCACACCAGATTACACGATGAGCTGCTTATGTTTCTGCTCACATTTAATGAACTTCACACAAAAGGGGTCAGCAGGGAATCAAAAGTGGTTCCAATTAGCAATCTTTTATTTCAATATCGACTGTACAAATTTAAGCCTTAAAGAATCCCCCGCTCAACTCAGATAAACTGCAGATGCAGTAAAAAAAAATTCAAATATGACATTTTTCCGGTTAACTTTAGAGAATTTTGGAGGTAAATACAGTATAAGAGCTTCTTCATTGAATGCCAGTCATTGCGACCATGATACGTCAACCAATTTTCAGCATGCCTTGATCTGTAAATTCCAAGCTTTTCTTTGTAAAGATAGCAAAAGCTTAAACAAGTGATGGACATGTAAAAATCACGCCTGGCCACACTTGCTTAAGCAAGCAACTCCCTCTTCTAAATAATCTTGTCTATTGATCCAAAACTCAGGGGCATCCTGCAGAAATTACTCGATAATTCAATATTTCCTTTCACATCATAATGTTTCTTTCAATTGAATGCTCTTCAGTTAGGGTGCATAGTGACTCAGTGAAACTATTTTCTTTTTTGACATAACGAGGAAAAAACTATAATGCTCAAAGAGAGACGAATGCCATTCTACAGATGATTTCAAGATGAACAAGGATCCTGACTAGAATAGAAGGATAGCATGAATCGTTTACAGACATGAAATACATCAGCCACAATGATTTGTTTGGACTCAATAAACATATAACCTCGTTTACTTTTTGCCAAATGATATGCTCTTTCATCGTCATTTCAGCAACTATACAGTAAAAACATTTTAGCTACCACATAAAAATTTCTTAACCTGCTGTAATGAGTGGATTATTCAGTAGCATTCAGCCACCGGAATATCTTTCATACACAGATGATTTCATCAATTGCACGAAATGTGTAATAAAAAAGAGATGGATTGGGGCCAAATGCAAAAATATGCATTTTCCTTGCGGCTTGGTTTCGGTTTTTTTGTTATTACTTGCTGTTAGTGCTTCTTTCATCTTTTCTTTAGCTGATGGTCTATCGGAAATAGCCTCTCTGCCCTTCCAGGGTAGGAGTAAGGCTGCGTACATCCTACCTTCCCCAAACCCCACTTGTGGGAATCCACTTGGTTGTTGTTGTTGTTCCTTGCGGCTGAAGTTGATGATTGCCAAGAATGTGGCACATCAAAATAGTACAATCCAACATTTCCGATCCCGAAATCAATTGAAGATGGATACTCAAATCTTGAATGTATGGGAAAGAGTACAGATTGAAAAAGGCTGTATCCCAGGCAACCAACTTACTTTCTTTTCTAATTTTAATTTCCTCTCTTAAATTAAATACTTGTTTATATGCATTGTAATGGAAGGAACAGAGATGGGGCTAGAGAGATGGAAGGAGATAGCATATACCTTCATAATTCCTGCCAGAACCGCACCTCCAAGATACACCATATGCTTTCTTCTTGGTGGATCTTCTATTCGTAAACGCAATTTCTGTTGCGGAAAAGACATAAAATAAAAAATAAAGATAGAAAATTTCAACGAAAACCAAGCAACACATGAAAGAGAGAATATGCTTGTGGCCAATGTAATCAAAGTTCCTAGATATGCTAAACCCTACTCGTCCTGCTCCAACTACTTTCATATCTCCATCTTTTGACTGACTTGACTTTATACCAGAAACCGTCAAGGTACCAATGTGATCAAGGTATTTACTTCAACTACTTCTCCCCACCCCTCGCCCCCACTCCAACCGACTCTGTTTTTTCTTTTTTTGCCCCTTTGGTTTGATGAAAGCTTTTCCCCTATGGCTTTTACCAAGGGGAAAATGATTTCCATGATTAGATATCAAATGCCATTTTATTCAACACTAATTGGTTCCAAATAATCAAATTAGGTTTGTAGGTCAGACAATTCGAATAAAAGCTACTTTGTCGCATAAGCCTGATCCATAAGCTAAAAATCTCAAGAAATGGCAAAATTAACAAAAAAGAGGCAACTGTACCTTCAAACCATCTTTGTTCCCCTTCAAAACAACATCAAGATAGCGGTCCAAAATTTCTTTCTCAAGGCTGTCAGTGTTTGAAAGAAGGAAATAGAAGTGTTATTTAAATAAGAGAGAGAGAGAGAGAGAGAGAGTCTGGGTGGAGGTGCGGCAAGAAAGAGTTCATTCCTTTTATTCGCACAGGAAACATAGGGCTATCATAATAGCAAAAGTAGAGTTTAAGGCAATAAATCACAAAGAGAGATAAATTCTTTCTACGGCAGGGGAGGACTGAGCAAATTTTGATACCGCACATCAAGAGAGTTATCAAAGTCATACAACAAAACAGTTACATAGTTCAAAATCTCTGCCAGAGAGATTGATCAAACATTAGTCTCAGAGAAAATTCAAGGATATACTACGGTTCATAAATTCAAAGAAAGCATTCACACTAGTTAAAAGTTCCTAGAAAAGTGTGATGATAATGTAGCATTTAGAATCAGTCATGCACAATTGCATTACTCGGCAGCTAAGTTCTCAAAGCTCTGTCATAAGAAAGAGTATTTGAGCAAGTTACCGACTAGGTAAGCCAGGATACATAGTACTTCCGCCACTCAAAACAATATGTTGGTAGAGCTGCAAAAAGTTTCAAAGTAATGATTATTATATTAACAATAAGATGGAAGGCAAACAACAACACTACGGGCAAGGAATACAGCAAAATTCAAATTTGAAGTACCATCATCCTGTTATCAATATCCATCTCCTGGATGCAACGAAATACCATGTCAGCCATGCCATCACCTTCAACATCAATAAGATCCTAAAATGGATAATGAAAATAATATTTAGCTTCCTTCCACATACATCAGCCCATCAATTAGAATTCCGGAGAAGCATGGAATAACATATTAAACCATGCAGTTGCAATGTTGCTTCAGTTTGTCTTAAGGACTTCATTAACACTTTATTTGAAACAAATTGATTTGAAGATGATACTCTATTGTTTGCTTTCCTGTTGGAAGGTTGAAAGGCCAAACTAGTTTTACAATAACAGAAGATCCATCAATTTAAAAAGTTGTCAAGATAAAAGATGGTCACTGATTAGGTAACAAGTGCCACATAGCATCCGGCATTATACAGGATTAGCTTTCTTTGGGGGAAAACGCGAATTGCATTTACTCTTCCCCACTATGGGGAACCAGCAAAGCCCGTGCATGTTTATGAAAAGGTATGTTCATGGATTTTGAAAGAGGAAAACAAATGGGAATGCATGCTTACTGGAGTAAAAAGAGCCTCAGGTGCCTGGAACCTTTCTGTGCCAACTTTAAGTACCCTCCCATCTGGAAGCTGAAAAAATAAAAACCTAAACAATGGGTCACTGAATGGCTAAGTTTCTTATGGAAACATGAAGATTTTTATATCCAAGAATTAAGAGCTTATTATGGATGGAGCCTACTCACAGTATAATTCTTAACAAGAATAGTAGTCTCAAGCCCCAACTGATATTCTCTCTTGTAATCGTAACTGCAGTACAGCAAATACCATTACTCGCCAGAAGAAGTCGTAAAGGAATTAAATTATGACACAAGTTATTTCACCTAATGTAGCACAGCTTTTCTTTAATATCCCTGACGGTCTCAAAATCAGCACTCTTATTCATTGCATACCTTCAAAAATTGACTGGCCATCAGAACTCCAGTAATGGTGTAAACTAATCAAATATAGCATGAACAACCACATTTAGCTTATTTCAAATGAGTTGGCAATTACCCTCTTCGAAGTAGCAGATCAACCAGATAAGATGTTATATGGCGCCCTGCAACATTCATTCTTTTTGTGAGGTGAGGGAATGAGTATCCATCAACAACAGGAACCTGCATCAAAGAACTTTCTGATAACATACGGAAGAAAAGTATCTCACAGTTCATGGCAAATACAACTATGTGCTATCAAACTAACAAATAGGTGACGCTGTGTTTATGACCACATTGACCAGAAGCTGCAAGCAGCAATCTTATTTAGTCGGGGAAACCCAAATGGACTCCTCTGATGCAGAAAAACAGCTCATATTTGGCAAAATCAATACGGAACCAAGACCGCCATAGATCGTAAAGCAGCTATGCTAATGGAAAAACTTACAACATGCGTAACTCCATCACCAGAGTCTATGACTAGCCCAGTCAACAAACCTGCATATATTTTAGAACAGCAATGATGAGCAGATCCATCACATATAACCCAAATTAAAGCTAACTATCTAATTAAACCCATTCTTGTAACAAAAATAAGTATTTACTCGACAAAAATTGCAATATCTGGACTCATAGTGGTCCTTTTCACAATAACCAAAAACATGATTTATGCCCAAGAACTCATATATCAAACTTTTCACCAAATGTATAATGGTACCTTGAGCATACAGTGTTAGAACAGCTTGAATTTGGATGAAGACCCCAGCAAAGTTGTACTTCTCAAACATAGTTTCTACCTATAATTCAAGTATATTCTGAGTATTATTTAAAAATCTTTGAGGCAATACAAAAAGGGAATGTATTCTGTGAAAAAGAAAAGCATGAATACAAACCATCTTTTCACGATTTTTCGATGGATTGAGAGGTGGATCTGTCAGCAGAATTTTGCATTCGGTCGGATCTACCTTCAACAGCAGAATGAAATGAAAGTTTTTTCAGTTAATCATGAACTAGCCATACGCCAAGTATTGTAAAAAAAAAAAAAAAAAA